GCTATATATCGGGTGTCCGCGGAGCGAACCATCTGCCGGGCGGAGGGGAGGAGAGGGGCGCGGGGCGGGGGTCGGGCCCTGCGGAGCCCCGCGCCGGGGGCGGCGCCTCTCCGCGCTGGCCCGCGGTCCGCGGCGGGGCTGGTGCGGCGGTGCGCCGAGCCAGACCCCTGGGTGGGCACACACACGCGGGTGGGGGTGTGCAGAAACGCGGGATGTCTCCGCGTGCGTGTGTGTGCTCTTGGGCGTCACGCCTTTCCCACTGGACAGACCCCTCGCCTCGGAGATCGTAAAATATCTCCCAAAAACGCCCGTGTTTGCACGGGGAGGGAGCGCACCGCTCCCTGTGCCTAAGGGCCAAGCACGACCCGGCACTCTGCTTCCAGCCCACCTACGCTCGCTCGTTCTCTTGCCTTTCCTTCGAGGGCATGGGATTTTCCCAACGTATGAACCCGGTGCAGCCGAGTGGTGCGGCACGACGGGGTCCCAGCCCGCTGGGCTCTTCCTCTGCCTGCCCAGCTTGAGGAAGCGGCTGTGCCATCCCGGTGTTCCCGCCGGCGCGGGCGGAGGCAGCAGGAGACGCGGCACTGTGGGCTGAGTGTGCGGTGTGTGGGGACCAACGCAAAAAGTCGCCGGGAATGTGCGTACTGTGGTTTGATAGCGTCCCTAGTTTTGGGTGAAACTTCAGACACTTGTCCGAGGGTTTTTGCTTCCTCAGAGCAATTAATTAAAACCCATTAAATTGGCTGTGTACGCCTCCCTGTCACAGAGCAAATTAAACGAGGCAGCTTTTCGAGTTGCTTGCAGGTTTTTTAAAACAAATTCTGTAGTTCAATTTTTATTATAGAGTGCACGGGTGGATGGAGGACCCCACATCCAATGGAAGTGCTGACAAGTTCAACAGAGGTATAAATAATAAGAAATATTAAAAAATTAGCCATCAACTTGTATCCCTCGCACCTTCCCCAAAACCTCCCTTTTTCACATGAAGAACTAGCGTTTAGTTCCTTGCTGGCTTTCACAACTTGGATATGATTAACCAGAATAAAACTGCAGTTCTCAGAAAATAACCTAATGACTACAACAGGTGGAAAGATCTTGTCCCGCAGCTTCTGGTCACGGTTTTTCCCTTCCATTTCTCTCCCGCCCGAGCGGAACCCTCCCGGCTGCTGCCATGCAACTTTCCTGGCACCGCCGGCCACCTTTGGGCCCAGAGCTCTGCCAGCCTCCCCGCCAGCCCTGCGGGCTCACTGAGGCCACTTAACGCTGTGCAAACCCCGACTTCACCCGCTGGGGCTAGAACCACATCAGAGCCGAGTTTAATGGAAGCCTTTCCAAGTGAAACTTGACATTTCTTGAACTACCTATACAGGCAGCTGATCTTGCAACTGGATCTCTTGAACTTGGTTTGACACGACGATAGATGCTCAGGCTGGGTCCCACACACTGCACAGTGAAAGGGCAGCACACTGGACTTGGGGGTTGCCCTTCCTCTCCAGTTAGACTGCATTATCCATATATATATATATATATATATATATAAGTACATAAAGATACTGCAGGGGAAGAGATATAGGTTTACTTTTTCCCCCCAACTGGGTTGTTTATACAGGTGCGGGCTGAACACTTTCCCTGCTAAAGATTAATGGAAGAAAGTACTGAATTTCTTTAAGCAGAGAAGAAAATGGTACCCAGTCTTAAAAGCCACAATGGCAAGCCTCCCCTTTCCTGCCTATCTTTGCCTCAGTGGATTGAAGGCAACACATAATGGACACCTTGACTCATTTAATGAAAGGACTAGGGGCAGGAAGATGAGCCAGATTCTCAGATCGTCTTTGCCCACTTCTTGGTTAGTAAAGGAAATGGGAAATGCAGTGAAGTAAATCTGAAGTCAGGGCTTACTTCGGATTTACGCCCAATGTAGCTGAGCAGACCTGACCCATCTATCAAACCGCTAATTTCTGCGACCCTGACAAAGATATTATTTTCAGGACAAAGTCTTTGATGGGGCCAGGGCATTACATCATACTTCCATTTGTCAAGATTTTGATCCTTTATGATCTCTGTGAGGTGAGTAGGGTAAGCCCCTGGTATATCAAGGCAGCATTTTATGCTTTACCCTTATCAGGTGCAGTCCCTTTCCCCTTTCTCCGTTAAAAGATAAAACCACGAATTGTACCCGAACTCCGAGGCCAGCATCCTTCCCTGTTTCACGGTCTATTCCTGCACTCTGGGCGAGATGCAGGGGCAGCCTCGGTTTGCAAAGTGGGGTGTGCGTGTGTAAAGGGATAGCAGCAGCAGCTGGAACAGCTCCTGCATGGGAAGAAGCTGCAGAGACTCCCTCCCCCAGGGAGCTTTGCCTCTGCCACCGTTGCTGGCCCTGAGGACACAAAAATCAGCTTTTCTCCACTGAGGGAGGGATCCCTGAACTGGGGAGTCTCGCTGGGGTGGAGTGGGCATTTTTTCCTCCCATTTTTCCACAGGCATTTAGGTAAATAAATGCAACCAAGCAAAGAGGAGTCCACGAAAACCAGATCTCTTCTTGACTTTTTTTGCAGCAAGGGAGAGTGTTTCGTGCGGCAGTTGAGGACCGGCGAGGACGGAGAACATCCCCGGACAGGCCAGGAGGCGCCTGTGCCCGGGAGCCGCCGCCCCCGCGACAAAAGCGCGATCCTAACAACCCGGCGGGTGCCTGGGATGAGGCATAGGGGGTATAATCCTCTCATTTCCTTCCTTAAGTTTCAGAATAAATTATAGGGAAAAAAAAAAAAGAAAAAAAGAAAAAATGAACGGAGGCCAAGTCTGCAAAACGCGGGTTATCTCCGAGAATGGGAGGGCGAACTGCTAAAAGCCCCGTGTCTTTCATCCTCATTCTCTGGGTGTTGGCAGCGACAAAGCAGGGTGGAGGAGGGAGATTATGTGTTCTCGATAAAGTACTTTAAATACGGCTTTTCTTTTCTTTTCTTTTCTTTTCTTTTCTTTTCTTTTCTTTTCTTTTCTTTTCTTTTCTTTTCTTTGACATTTGTCCTTTTCTCGAGCGCAGCAGTTATCGAGTTCTCCCCACCTGAAGTGTGCTAGGCTTTCTCGGAAAGACCTAAATGTAACAAGGGCTTTTTAAATTCATTTTTCCCGCGGTGATGAGAAAGGCGGGATGTCCGGAGGAGAAGAGGACAGCGGCTGACAAATGTGTTCACCTTCATCTCTTCACAAGCATCTGTAACACGCATCCAGGCTTGTGTGAAGGGCGTGCAAGGCTTCTGCCACGAAAGTGATGGATGATGGAGATGGTTAGTCTAGTAGGAAAAGCAGGTGGATGAATTATAACCTTGGCTTAGTGCCACTTAGAGCAAAGACGACTCTGCTTGGCTCAGATTGCCCGGTAAAGGCACCGAATGAAGGGAAAAATCTGTGATTGTCCCTCATTCCCACAACAACCTTGCCTCCACTTAAAACGTCTGTTCCTGGAAAGATCTTTGCTACAGTCAGTGCCCTGGGTACCCTGTCCTTAGCCAGGGGACTAGCACTGCTCGAGGCACCATTAAAGAATTCCCTTGCTTTTTTTTCGTTTTACTAAGGTGACAGCGCCGTGGTGCCTAAGTCCTGGAACCCTGGCAGCCGCCTCTCTGGGGATACTCCATGTGAGCTAGCCCAGGGGATCCCGAAATCATCACGGGAGAAGGCAGAAACCAAGCAGTTACTGGAAATGAGTGCATGTGTGTGATACAGGAGCAGGATGGACTTCCCTAAAAAGTGGCTTTCCACCATATAACAGAATCAAAGGGTACTTTGTGGGTCAAGCCACGTCAAATAAAGAAAACAGGAGATGATAAATGAATCCCTGGAAGGAAAACAAATAAAGTATTTACTAGAATTTATTTTGCCTAGCCAGAGCAAAGAGATGCGCGATTCGATGCTTAGTGAAGGGACTACAAAGCGAGGTTAAACCCCTCCTCGCTCCCTGCGAGCTGGGGCTGTCCCGTTTCTCTCCCCGAGAGCCGGCGGAGCGGCCTCCAGGTGCGGCGCGGGCAGCGCTCTCCTTTGCCGTCGGGAGAGTCTCTGCTCGGCCGATTGCCGGCCCGGAGCAGGAGACCCTCGGTTCCAGGAGGAAAACCCGGCCGGAGGGGGTTGCTGGGCGACAGGAGTGAGGCGGGTCACTGGTGTCCTGCGTCCGCGGCTGCGGGGCTGGTTTTACCGCCTGGGCTGTGGTGAGGGTTCGTGCTTCTCGCTCAGCAACCCTAAACATAAGCGGGGACATACTTTTAAATTTAAAATAAAAAAAAAAACAAAAAAAAAAAAAAAAAAAAAAAAGGGGACATACTTTTAAATTAAAAAAAAAAACAAACAAACAAACAAAAAAAAAAACCCAAAAAACCAACAACAAAAAAACCCCACAAAGAAACAACTCTTCTACCGTCAAAACCCCCAAACCGACCAACGAACGAACCCAAACCCCACCAAACAAACAAACAAACAAAAAAACCCCCCCACTTTTGTCATTCGAGCCGCTAATTGAACCAAAGGGGATCCCGCCCGCAGCACGAGATGAGCACATCTTCCCCGAGGAAAGAAACTGCTCCCTGTTAGTTGCTTCTTCTCCCCGGCATTTCTAGTGCAATAACCGTAACGAGACATTATCGAGCGTGATTGCTGCTTTGCCCGGATTTTGACCAGCAGTGAATTTTGCTCAGGTATCCCCAACTTTCAGCAGGATTTCCCCTGTGGAATAGCCAGGCAAACTCTCTAAATACCTCCTGGCGCCAGAAGAAAGTTCTCATGTAATAGATACCCATTGGTGTGAGAACACGGATTCTGCTCACTTTGTCAATCAGCCCGGGCGGGTGGGGGCAGTGGGAAGGCGATTGAGGAAGGAGAGGTGGGGGGTTTCCTTTAATTAAAAAAAAAAAAAAGTATTTTTGCATTAATTTTATTTTTTTTTAATGGTGCCAGGAGATATG